TATTTTTTTATAATTATTCATACGATCCGGAAACGTTCAGAGCACACGCTTGTGAAATGGTCTATCGTCATATCAAATTCAAGATGGATCGCACATTATGGCCTGTAATTCAAACTGTTATTTTTGATAAATAATGAAGATCCTGAATACTCCATAATAAAATGGAATAATAAGATCAACCTGTAATTTTTGACGAGAATAAATTGAAAATTAAAATTTTTTTACATTATAGTAAAAAATTAAGAATTAAATACCAATGAACAAATTTAATGTTTGTTAAATAAGTTATACTAATAGTAGTATCACTCGTATACGAATGTTTTAAAATTTAGCATTAAAATTTAGAAGTAATTTCATTCCTATATTTTTAGGCATTCTTCACAGTGTTTGTGAATAGCCTAAAAGAACATATTACAATCGATGAAGAAACAGAAAAATTTTTGTTTACAAATTGGTAAAGAATTTTCCGATGAATGCCTCAAACATACCATTGCTCTGAATTTACCCAATTAAATAATTTTAATTCAATTTACATTTCTCACAAATCATACATAGAATGCAAGCATGATAATTCATCTTTCTGTAACAAAATGCTACAATTGCGCATATTTTATTTTACATAATACAGGATGAAAAGAAATCAATAATAGGACAATAAAAGATCAATTGATCAATCGATTATTTTGTCTCAATCTTTGCTTCTATACTTTTGTTGATAATTGATAAAACAATTTTCATCTTTGCTTAAAAAAATCAATTGTTGCTAAAATAATTATTTAAGAGATCAACCAATCCATCATTTAGATGTTTTTTATCAATGAATAAAATCAACCATACTCTGTAGCATTTCTGCATATGTCATAGGCAAATTAAAGATTATGTTGCCGTAGCATTTCTAAATACAGCATTTTTTGCTTTTTTAAACTCTCTTTGAAACTTTCCGGAATGTGGCCAACATCCGGTAGCACATCATAATCGTCCTTTGAATCATTTAGTTGTTGCTCGCGTAACTGTAAACACATATTTACGAATTTTTCGTAAAATAAGTACTTCAAGCATATAATTTGAGCAATAACAGAGTAATAAACTGAAAACATTATAGCAATTGCTTTTATTTTTAGTAAAAACCAATCGATTTGGCATTGTTTGTCATTAGTTCTGAATATAATAATAAATTTGAAGTTTAAAAACATGCAAAATATTGAGATGGGGAAGGTCAAAAAAATCTCTCTATAAATTATTTCTGGGAAGAATATAGAAGCAGAAGATAAGCGTAATTAAATTAAATTTGTTTAAATCACTTTTTTCTATCACTAGGAATCATGATGACATTTGGGAGCAATCAAACTATTTCGTCATTTAGAGGTTAATTAGTTTCCAAATTTCAATTAATCTTCAAATTACTTTCGCTGCGTTTACACTATCATTTCTTTTTTGTAAACGCATTTGCCAACTTTTTCCATTCCATTTATTTTACAGATTTCGTTTTTTTACCAAACACCGTGAACTTTTTTATACTTTTGAAATTCAAAAAAGAAAACTGACGAAAAGAGTGAATTATTAGGAAAAGAAATATTGAGAGAAGAATTGAGAGAGTCAAAATAGTTAATTAAAAAGTAATAAGGTACCTCCTTAATTTCATCTGGATTTGGTGGTCTTCCCATAATGGCCATACTGACGAACAGTAGTAAAATAGAAAAGGACAACATTTTTGTTATCGTCTGTAACCTGTAAACAAGTATTTCTATTTCAGCAATAGAATTAAAAAAATTAAACTAAAAAATGAGTTAATTAAAATTTAAAATGGCATTTAATTCCACAAAAAGGAAAGCGACCGATAACCAATTGGAAAAAGTCCAAAATGATTTACTGAAAAGAGCAGAAATGAGTAATTACATGAAAAGTTCTGCATTCTTGTTAGATTCGGAGAGTTAGAGGAGACCGGTTTTGGGTTCACAACACATTCCGATATTTACTGGATAACAAATCGTATAAAATTTTAATTTGAAATTTAATAATTTTAAAAATATTTAAAGGTTACTAGCTGTCCAAATGATAGATTTCAATGTTATGGGGCAAACTTAGGAGAGGAAAGAATTTAACTAACTGCTTCATTTGATATTCTCAAAATTTATTGAAAGTTTTGTCAAAATTTATTGAAAGTTTTCCAAATATTTTTAAAACTATTAAATTTCAAATCGGAATTTTATATAAATTATTATCCAGCAAATATCGGAATGTTTTGTGAATCCAAAACGGTCTACTTTAATTCCCCGAATTTAACAAAGTTAAAAT